AATAATAATAATAATAATAATAATGATAATAATAATAATAATAATAATAATAATAATAATAATAATAATAGTAATAATAATAATAATAATAATAATATTGAAATAATTTTTCTATATAAAATTATATTTTTTATTTTAATATTTTTATTTAATAATTTTTATATTAGTTTTAGTTGAACATATATAATATTGAAGACAATAATGTACATTCTCATATACACTAATGTGCATTTAGTCTAACATTATTGTGCAGTCTATTGAAAGAGTACTATTTTTTTTTGCACTACCAATTTACATATACCATAGAAATATATTTAGTTTTTCATACTTTTTTATTTAATACTTTATATTATTGTCTGCTGAAAACAAATAATATATATAGATAAAATATTATTTTTTTATATAATTTGGCCGTTTTGTTATTTCACTTTTCTTTATTTTAATTTATTTAGTTATTTTTAAAATTAAGTCAAAACGGAACTAAAATACTCAAACTTCTAATATATGTGAAAACACACACTTTTTATGCTAATGTGCATTCGCAAATACATTAATGTGCAATCGGTCTTATTTTACTGTGCAATATTATAATCACTTAGATACATTTTGTTTATTGTCATTCATTTTTTTCTTTTTATATGCAATCTAAACTACAATAGAAAAAAATAATATGTTTCTTCGGTTGGTTTACCGAATTGACCAAAATAATAAAAATAATTTCTTAATATATTTATAAAAATATATGTAGTATTTAATATTATTTAATAATTTTATATTATTTTTAATTGAAAATATATAATAAATATGTATAAAAAATGTATAAAATGATATTTTTTAATTGTTCATTCGGTTCAGTTATTTTTAAAAATAAAGTCAACATCGAGCCGAGATAACTAAATTTTTAAAGGTAATAATAAATAATCGAACCATATTTTAAAAAAATTTATAGTTTGAACCAAAAATTAAATTAAAAAAACAATAGAATCAATAATTCAAACTGATATATAAAAAGAAACTATTGAATTTTATTAATTTCCATATTTAACCTATGAACTAAATTGTATTTTATTGTAATTTCTTAATTTTTCAAATTGGCCCCTTCAAAATGTCTAATTTTCCAAAAAAATGACTCATCCTAATTTCTGAATCCAATTCTTCTTCCTCGACCCTTGCTATCCGACTTTTGGGGGCTGTTAACAGTTTTTATGGCGTCAACTGATGGCGTCATCCGAATAGCACGAAAGACGGTGTCGGAGCTGGCAGATGTGGCTGCGAGGAAGGCAGAAATGGTCGCCGGCGCATCATCTTTGTCAAATATTGAGGGAGTAGAGAGGCTATGGCAATGGCAAGGTGGGCGGCGACTGTTGGCGGCGGAATCGAGCAGTGGCTATGGGAGTCGCTAGGTGTTGCACTTGTGTGAGGTGTCGGTCGGAGGCGACGAGCGGTGGCTAAGGGATGTGCGCGGCGGAATCTATGACGGGACGACGGCTGGCAGGATGTACATCTTCACGGCTCGAGGTTCCGGCGGTGGATGGGGTGCATAGACCCGTGTGTGTGGGTCTGTGTGTGTCCCGTGAGGTGTGTGTGTGTGTGTGTGTGAGAGAGAGAGAGAGAGAGAGAAGGAGAGAGAGAGAGAGAGAGAGAGAGAGAGAGAGAGAGAGAGAGAGAGAGAGAGAGAGAGAGAGAGAGAGAGAGAGAGAGAGAGAGAGAGAGAGAGAGAGAGAGAGAGAGAGAGAGAGAGAGAGAGAGAGAGAGAGAGAGAGAGAGAGAGAGAGAGAGAGAGAGAGAGAGAGAGAGAGAGAGAGAGAGAGAGAGAGAGAGAGAGAGAGAGAGAGAGAGAGAGAGAGAGAGAGAGAGAGAGAGAGAGAGAGAGAGAGAGAGAGAGAGAGAGAGAGAGAGAGAGAGAGAGAGAGAGAGAGAGAGAGAGAGAGAGAGAGAGAGAGAGAGAGAGAGAGAGAGAGAGAGAGAGAGAGAGAGAGAGAGAGAGAGAGAGAGAGAGAGAGAGAGAGAGAGAGAGAGAGAGAGAGAGAGAGAGAGAGAGAGAGAGAGAGAGAGAGAGAGAGAGAGAGAGAGAGAGAGAGAGAGAGAGAGAGAGAGAGAGAGAGAGAGAGAGAGAGAGAGAGAGAGAGAGAGAGAGAGAGAGAGAGAGAGAGAGAGAGAGAGAGAGAGATGAGTGACAGATGAGGTGTGGGAGAATGGGCACAATTTTAATTGGGTTGGGGCCCACTTATGTGGTGGGTATTTGGTGTGTGAGTAAATGTCCATATTATCCTTAATGATGATATAGTTTTGCCTTATGTTTCCAGCCATTAGATCATCCGATCTAATGACTACAATCTATTATTATTTCTTTCTCTAAACACTTTTCTCACTGTTATCATTTGAACCCTAGGACTTGTTAGTTTGGGATAACTAGATTGCATTTCTCTTATCCCATCTCCAGTGATTACAGTTAGACAAGTGGACTATATTTATCTCTACCTCATGAAAATGATAGGACCGTATGAGTTCCCAAATTTTCCATTGATTGGTAGTATTCATATGTTCGTTCCCCCATTGAGGCACTTTTCTCCCCACTATAGAACTAACTTGTACAAGGTCTCAATATTTAATTCATGGTTGATCATTGATGGTTTGGTCCCTTTTCTCCCTGCCATGTTTATTTTCTGAATTTGTTTTCATTCGGTGATTTTTATAATATCCTGTGAATATGACTATTATGACTATATCCATCAAAGTGGGCCTACACCCACGGGTTGCCAGCCCTTAAAAAGAGACAATTTGGGCTGATACTTTTTAAGCCCACCAAGGCCAGTCCGTACAAGAGCTATTGGCGGCAGCAGCGGGATTGCCGCCCATTAAAAAAAAAAATTGATTTAAGTACTAAAAGTTTAAGTTGTGATCATAGTCATTGAAAGATGAACTTGTTTAATAAGTTATAATTGGGTCATTTAATTATGTTGTTTCTTAGCACTAGATTTAAAGTTTTTATTTTTTATTTATTGGATTTTGTCCAACCCAACTTACAAATGTCTGTTTAAATTTTCCTGACAATTTTTTAATATTGGGTTGGCCAGGCCTGACTTGTAAGAAGTTTAACGGACATATTCATAACTATTATGCGAAATTGAACAAACTCTAAACATGTAATTCTATCAATTCATATAATATGGATCTTTGCATAAATTAAAGTGCACATAAAACTAGCAAGAGTCAAACTTTTAGTCATTTCATATTTTCTTGATCTACGATCCTCTTTCTCGTAATCTTTAATGATGTGTTTCTTTCTCACGCGTCTCTCGCCATTTTATAAAGCCGTCGTTGTTGAGAACTTTATTTTTGTATGAGTCAAGAGAGAGGGGCTTGTTGTAATATATATTAGAGGAGATATACAATCATGTTCTTACTAACAATCCCCATGTTCTAATTTAACTTATTGTCCAAGTCAAACATTACAAATTGGACTCTTAAATATTAGAAAATTAATAATTTATTAAATACATGTTTTTCCCAAAACGATAGAAGATTTTATAGCACAACATGCACAACAATACAATCCAAGAGTCAACTGACCCTAATACATGAGAGTCATCATATACAGGTGCTCTAACCAACCCAATAATTACAACAACTAAGAGAAAATGATCCCTAAGCACGTACTAAGGTCAGTAAAACTACTGTCACCCTTAATACTCCTTAGATATCCAAAGCTGCAAGGTGCCACAAACCAGAATAAATACTATTACAATAATATAAATAACTAAAAAGAACAAGCACTCAAAAACAGAAGAAGCTAAAGAAAAATCCAAAAAGGCATGAAGAGATCCCACTGTACCAATCGGACCTAGACATCTCCCCATAACCTCATTGGCTTATCTGCAGTTCCTCCTAGCATATTCCTGCCAACTCCCCATTGCAAGCTTGATAATGTACTGAGTCGGCATCCATTCTTTCTAAAGATTTAAAGGTTTCTCGCTTTCCATAACCACCATAATAGTTATGTGGTTAGTTCAATCTGAGCTTCAGAAACTTCTAGATTATTAACTGAGCAGACATGACCCCACCATGATCTGACTTTGGTCAAAGGATCCTGAGGAAATTCCCATTGAACTGGAGAGTAGCTTTCCACACCTCTTTGGTTCTTCTGCAATGAAAAAACATATGCTCAATGGTCTCTATATCTTCACCACAGGATTGGCAGATACCATCAACAAACATTCTCTTCTTCTAAGCACAACTTTAACTGGAAGGGCTTCTGAAAAGCACTTCCATAGGAAATGCTTTAACTTCCCCATGGTTTTGAGTTTCCAGGTCCTATGTCTGATTTTCTGAAGAGTCCCAGCAGATTTACTGCCTTCTTCCATATCAAGCTTTCTGTTCTACAAGTTTGGAGTAAGCTTTGGCAACTGAGAAATCCCCCTTGGCTTCATCATTCCAGATCCATCTATCTTTCCTTTTTTAGGTCAAGTGTGGTGATCTTTAATATGTTTGTACTGTCTTCTGCATTGAACAACTGCTTGATCAAATTCACAATCCATCTTCTGTCTCCAACTCCCATCAATTCCCATACCCATTTGATGTCAGAGTGATTATATTATCTCTGAGGACTGCCTGAAGCGTATGCGTTAACCCATGGGTCATTCCAGAGGCTGGTGGTGAGGCCATCCCAATCTGAATTCTGAAGCAATCTTTGTACCTATCTCTCACTGTCATCCATGTCGACCATAACCACGAGGCATTCTGTGAAACTCTAGCTTTGAGTATGCATCCAGTTGGAAAGTATTTACTCTTAGGCTCCATTTAGATCGAGTCATTTCAAATCCCAAAGGATTTCAAATTTATTGTATTTCAAATCCATTACCTTGAATTCCCTTGTTTGGATTAAGGTGAATTTGTGGAAAGCATTTCAAATCCATGAATTTCAAATTCATTGTTTGGCAAACCATAAGAACATTTTTTTTTTTTTTTTTTTACAAAATAACATAAAAAAAATAAATCATTTTCTAAAACTTCATTATTAGCACATATTTTCAGGATATTATATCTCAAATCATCTAAAATGGAATCTCACAAATGCCATACCCAAATAATGAAAAGGAAAGATAAGATCACTTATCAAGACATGCTAATTTACAACATCCTGCCAATAAGAATTTCTCCATGGATATAAGTTGCATCATGAAGACATATCCAAGACAATATTCACATAAAACATTCCAAAAGCAAATCATAAAATATCCATACAAAGCATTCGAAAGCAAATCACAGAAGTTTAACACAGTACATCATTGTTTCCAACAAATAGCAAGACAATCTTTTGCACTATTTAGCAAATGAACATCTCCAAAGACAACTAAGAATTAATGAGATAATAAATCCACTCTGAGACAACTAAGAATTGATGAGATAATAAATCCACTCTTGTTTTTTTTCTTCTGGAAGGGCTTTCAACAATTGGAACTCCTCTAGATCGATATTCATTAGCTTACGGATAACTTTGAACACTTCTTCACTAGTAATCCCCGGTATAACCGATACAACCTCATGTATCTCAATGCCACTTGGTTTCTCTTCTTGTTTTTTCCTTGCCAGATACTCTTGAAATGAAGTAGCAATAACACTTACCACTTCAGCCAGCCAGTGAATCTTTCTTAAACTTTGTTTTTTTCTCCAAGTTCGAATCTGCTGAACTTGTTGTCCTTGCTCGTGCTCTGAAATCGGAACTTGGAGCCAAGTCTTCTTCAATGTCAACATCTTCATCCATTGCTTCACTACCTTCTTGAAAAGTTTCAACATTTTGACCCGTTGCTCTATCTCTTCCACATAAGAGAACAATGTCATCCCAATTTTCTATCATTTTATTTTGCATCGCTTTTGCATCAGGATGTGACTGCATACAAAAAATCAACAACATATAATATATAACAATTACTATCATACCTATAATCTTACATATAATCTGGTTGATGTGCACTTTAATATAATGTAGATTGAAACAGCACATACTCAAAAGATTGTAGGATAATTCATAGTAATGTGAATGTCATAGGAATTCACGGAATGTCTGATGTGCTTTTAAATATAATATGTACAAAAACACAAACTTTAGTGGAACACGACAAAAGCACCTCCAATCCCACACCTTCTAGAACAGATTAAGTATAATTTAGGTTCAATCACCTGTAACATTCCCAGCGTCTAGTTTAACACACGACTTTCACACCTTAGCAATCATTGATAAATAAAATATGCCTACCGAATGTGCATTAATTGTTATTTTCATATCTATATAGAAAATCAATGAGATAACAATCAAGGAGAGCTCACAGTGCAAAGACATGAAAAGATAACAATCACCCAATTGTTTGTTCCATATGCTATATTTTTGTAACAACAAAAAAAAAAATAAAAAAAAATAACAGAATATAAATGGCTAACCTCCACATATGTAGCCCAAGAACTCGATTCATCAGAAGTGACAACAATCATTTTCTTATCCTCGTCCCAAGAAAAACCACTTTGATTAGTTTGGATGTCAGAAACTACATTGAAGTGCTTCTTCCAGCTTTTCAGTCTATTTTTTATGTTATCTTTCGTCAAATTCAGATGCAACTTTGCATTTAAGTACGTCACAGCAGCATGCAGAGATTGGGGCTTCCAAGTATCAACATCACACTTGTGTCCAAGAGCCATTTGTTCAGTTAATATGAAAGCCAAATGACTGTCTATCTCCTTATTCCAAGATACATATGATTGTTTGTGCTTAACTGAAAAAATACATATAAAAAATAAAAATACGCCAATTGAATCAGTATAAACGTATCATACGGTATGAAAGGTTACCTTCAACAGCAGCAACATGATCAGTAGAAGCACCATAGTCGGAAAAGCTCCTCTTGGATGTTTTTGTGTTAATTGACATTGAAGCTTTTGTTACTTTTTTCATCTTGTGATTCATACTTTCATTATCATTTATAGCCAAAATTATGAAAATAATAAGTTGACAGCATATAGTAAGAATTTTACTCAAATAGCTAAACATTATATTATATCACATAAAAAGAGCCAAAAGAGCCAAAGGCAAACTAAGTATCAAAAAGTAATTGCATTGCAATATCTAAAAATGTTGGAAATATACTATTCTCATCGAGCTTGATACTCATCAAACATTTGTAGGGCAAGATTATCCCGAAAAGCAGTCCACTCGGGTGTAGTTCTTACAACTCTTATATTCTCTTCAACATTAAATTCATCTTCCACTCTAAACGACTTGTTAGTTCTCTGTCAACTTCAATCAACAAAGGATCAATTAACATCTCACAACGCACAAAATTATGCAAAACACAACACGCATTGATGATTCTAATTTTAGTTTTCACACTATAAAAACTAGCAGCCCGCAGAATAGCCCATCTTTTCTTCAGCAAACTGAAACTCCGCTCAATTGCATTTCTTGCTGAAGAATGTCGAAGATTGTACAACTCTTTGTAAGTCTGGGGAATATTTCCTTTCCACTCATTCAAATGATAACGAGTCCCTCTATATGGAGCAAGAAAATCAGGACCATTTGTATAACCAGCGTCCACAAGATAATATTGGTCTACCAAAAAGTATACAGGAAAAAAACATCAATATCTTTAAATATTTTAAGACTGTGCATTAGCTAATAAACTTTCAACCTACCATTTGGAAGTCTTAAACTGTTAGTCCTGTATAATGCATCAGGCAACACTCGTGCATCCGAAGTGGATCCCTCCCATCCAGGTAGCACATAGAGAAATTTCAAATTAGCATCACAAACTCCTAACACGTTTGTACTTATACCACCCTTCTTATTCCTATATCTACTACGATCCTTCGCTGGAACAGTGAGGTCAACAAAAGTCCCATCCAAGGCCCCCAGTGCATTCTACACAATTTAATGAATAAGTTTTAAACCGTAGTTTTTATAAGGCATGTATTTGATAAGAATAAAAGTTGAATAATTACCGGAGACCATCTCCATCTCCTTGCATCCCTCTCATTATATAATCCATCACTTTGTTACTTGAGATAAATTTTTCCAATTTTTAGCACCGCACGAAGTACGGTATGAAACTGCCTACTTATAGTTTCCCCTGACCGCGCAAATATAGATGTTGTTGTACTATTTTTTTGATCATGAGCGAGAATATGTAGAAATATTGCCACAATTTCTTTTATTGTGACATTTCTTGAAACAACTAGTCCACCCTCATTTTGTAATACATCACATAATTTGTTAAATGTGTGCACATTTAGTCGTAGTTGCTTAAAACATGTAGGATCACGACATAAGGATCTCATCCAAATTTCCCTCCGTTGAGCTCTTACATCATTTTTCATGGGAACCTCTTTGATAAAATATTTATTATGGTACCAAGATCCCAAAACAGCTACCAGAGAAATCAACAAAAGAACAATAATGTCTGACTCTTCTTCATCATTTTCCACATCCTCTCTTCTACGTTTTCTACTACCATTATCCATCAGACCTACATCAATGCCACCTCTGGAGGTCATTTCTAAAAAAATAACATGGGGAATCACACAGCATTAAAACAAAATCATAAGAATGAAGAAGCAAACAAAACAAGCATTCAGACTCTAGATTCTTCAAGTAACCTGAACATATTGCTATCATTGACTTATAACTAATTTATGCTCAAAACAAGAAGGAAACAAAAAGGTTATACCATTGAATAATTCATGCTCTTATTTGAATTGTTATGTAGCATTATATTACTGTTAAGTCCTCTGTTTGCTCCAGTATGCACAGTTAATCAAATACAACCTTACAATTGAGTCCATTATGGATTAAAAAAGCACAACTATTCAGCATGGCCTACATTTGCCTATGGGAAAGCATATAAAAATGCAGTAGATCTTTGTAGTTCATTTAATTCAATCAATTTCATTTTCTTCAAATTAAACATGGCCACGGACCGAACTGGCCCGCGACCCGGACCGGAAACCGGCACCGAACCGGCCATATAAGGGCCGCGGTTCGGTCCAGGTTAAAAAAAAAAAATTTGGTCCCGGCGGTCCGGTCCGGGCTGGGTCGGGCCACGGGCCGACCGCCGGCAACGGTTTCTAACGGCCCAAAATTGCCGCCGCCGGGATCCAACGGCCCAAAATTGCCGCCCGCCCGACCCGTTGGTACGGACCGTGACCCGGCGGGTCCACAAAAAATAAAAAATCCAAAAATAAAAAAAATACCACATCTCCCCATTTGTTTTTATTTCATCATATTCTATATATTTTTTTCCAATTTATTTTTTATTCTTTAAATTATAAAATGTCGAGCTCTCCTGGTGGCCGTGGTTCGAATTTCGGACAGAAACGTAGAAGTATCGGCACCGGCCCGTCTTCGTCGAGACCTCCATTGCCGGAATTTGCGAGTCCATCGATACATGTGGATATTCCCGGTGTCGCCGATGACATTGATGAGGCGACGATCGAGCGCATGTTTGGCTCAATTCAGCCTGAGCAACAAGAGCAACAACAGCCGTATCACGACCATTTCGATGATATATTTGGAGAGTCCCCGCCGGAGGTTCAACAACCGACGCAGCAGCAGTAGCCGGACCCGGAGGTCCCGGACTCGGCCTCTGTCTTCGCCCGTGGAAGACCGGCATCTGCCATATTCAAACAACATTACACGAAGGTGGCCAATTCGATAAGAGGTGAGAATCACTTTTTAGCTGTTTGCAAATACTGTCCAGCGAACGAGAAGAAGCAGTACCATTTCAAAAAAGGCGACGGTACGGATCGTTGAAACGACACTTAGAGAGGAATCATCCGACAAAATTGGGAATTAACAGGGCACAGACACAACTCCCGAGTAGTAACGCTGCATCTACCACGATTGGTACAAGTACGCCATCTTTATTTCAGTACTCACATGAAAATCATCGACGCTGTTGTAGCAAATTATTTTTTTTTACCGAGTACCGAATCGAATGATTCGTTCCCCGGGTCGATCTCGCAAGGAAGGCGGTTCGGAATCTAGAATTGGTGTTGATGACACACGAAAGCAAAATAAATCCTAAACACTCTAATCACAATTAGAGTTTGAACTATCAACTAGGAAATAACAGAAAATGCATAAAACATAAATTAACTCAAAAACATGAAACAAACAATGATAAAGAAGCAAGGGAATCGAGAATATTTGTTTCGGTTCGAATTGTAGTTAACGGGCAAGTGATTGTTCGGTTAAATGATTCGAATAACCTACTCGTTCAGAGATTCATCCTCAATAACTTTTCGTAACAAGAGAACAAACGTGAACGGAAAATTAACGATTCGTTTAACACCTAGGCAATACAGTTACGAACAAGCCTAGTTTATACAAGCCTAGATCGATCGGCTCCTCCCCTTTCGGTTCTAAGAGTTGATTAAATTATCCTAGAAGATGGTTAATCAACTAGTCCATTTAGAATTAACAACATCACGCAAGAACGAATCAAATTCAATTGAAAATCAATTGGAGATTGAAGTGTCACCCTTCAACAATTCTTAACATTCAAGCATAATCATCGAAAACCCTATTTAAGAATAACTCGTATGAATTGAACAATCAACGAACACTATTATCACAAATGAAACCAAAACATCATCCCCTATCCCTAGCAATTGGGTTTAGCCACTCATATTCAATTCAACACCATCAACCAAAACAGTCAAAGCAATCATATTCATGGATTAAATGAATAGAAAACTTACGATTAAAACAGAACTGAGAGTTGAATATGAAATACAAGATTAATCCAAAAGTAATGAAGAAATCCAAGTGAAAAACAAGATCAAGATGGTATTCTTAGGGTAAGAGAAGGGGAAGAATGGGTTTTTGGGGGATTTTTTTGTCTCGGAACGAGTCCCCATGAAAGGTCCCCTCAAGATCGAGCAGAATCGTGGTTTATAAAAAATCTGGTCGCACAGGGGTTTAGCGCCGCTAAGGTCTCCTGGGCAGCAGGCTCTGAGGTCATTAAGGGGTCGCTAGGCCTTAGCGCCGCTAAGGACTGGACTGCGCGACTTTGCGCTTCGGCTTCGTTTGAGCTCGTCCGAACTCGGAATTGAGTTCCGTTTTTTCCTACGTGTCACTAACGAACCCCTCTATACAATGGTGCTTGAATGGCCAAATTATTCTTGAAATCCATTTCGCTCAAAGCTTATGACCAGCACACCAAAGACGTGCTTCGTGCGACTTCGCGTTTTGGGCCTGTTCGAGCTCGTCTGGTATCAAAATTTAATTCCGATTTCTCCTGTGTGATGCCAACGAAACGCTCTCTTTAATGATGTTCACCCGGCTCATTTATCGTGAAAAATAGATCCTCATGAATCTTCCAACCTACACACCAAAGACGAGAAAAGCCGAAAAACGACCGAAAAACACGAGAAAGACAAAGATAGAGGAAAACACGCGATAAACTACAAAACGAGATAAAAACTAACTAAAAGACCTAATATGGGGGAAAAAGAAAGGAAAAATAACGAGGAAAAACACAACAAAAATGGAACAAACAACTTCCCCACACTTAAACCTTTGTTCGTCCCGAACAAAAAGAAAACAAAACAAGACGCGAGCATGGATATGGTTTCAAACAAGAAGAGTTTCAAAATGTCCAATTCAACCAGGTCGAATTCCAACGACCGTGAAACCAAATACCTCAAATATAAACTTGGCCTCGAAATGGCAAACTCTCAAGCGCAAAAATATTAGTACATGCCTCACTCATTCTCTTACATGAATATATGACTGGGTCGCTCAGATTGGTCAATATTCAAGTTTCAACATATGCTTGCCAATAGTTTAAATTACTCAAAAATAATCAAAGCTCAAAACTTGCGAATCAAGAGGACTTCAAGGGTTGTAATGTAGGCTATTTGGTTCAAGGTAAGGATATATAAAGGAAAAGAAGCTCAAATAAAAAAAATCACAATTCTCGAGCAAATAGATTACTCGAGTTCTCCGCCACTCATCCGAAATAAACATGACAACACATCTACCCCCAACCAAAACACCACACACAACACCTAATTGCTCTAATCGAATTGCAATACTTGACCCATTTCTTTTCTTTTTTTTTTCTTTTTTTCTTTTAATATTTTTTTTTATTTGGAGAGTAACTTTTTCCGAACAAGATCGAATCTAAAGGACAACATTCTGTAGGTGTGACATTGGAGGTCATCCAACTTTCCTACAGTAGTTTCCCAATGCTCATTACCTATCAAAATGAATCGACTAGTAAGAGGAGCAGAATCCATCCGATTCGTCCTGTGAATCTCTCAAGTTTTTTTTTAAGGTCAAGCAATAGAAATCCAACTCCAATTCACCTCATTCAACAACGACACCATTTTCACCAGTCATCATAAAATCAGTCAACAAAATACATTATATGCATGGCTGACAAGAAAAGGCTCAAGGCTCAAACGGGCTACCAGGGAAAATAATGTTAAGGACCAAAGAACAAGGCAAAAGTGAGCTAAAAACAAAACGCCTCAATCACTTTTGCAATTTTAAACTCTAATCGGCTCCTTTCAATCAAACTCAAGGCAAGAATATGACCAATATCTCACAAGAAAGAAGAGTAAGGATCAAAACCTCACAAGGTAAATAAATGTCACTCAAAGCAATCAAACAAATATCGAGGCAATGATCAACACAACCGTCATCAAAACTTCCTAATTTCATCAGACATTCATCAACAAATCCTATAATTCACCAATACCACATGCTCAACAATACAAAAACCTAAAACTAGACCGGTCCACCATATAAGCATGCAAAAATCCAAATAACTCCCCCACACTTAAAATGAGGCAATGTCCTCATTGCTTCAACACAAAGCAGGAAGTCAAATAAAGGACCTAGCAATTTCATATAAAGAACCAACACAAGCAGCTAGCACAAAAACACAAAACTCAAAAGAAAATACAGGGAAAAGAAACACACTCAAAAAATGTAAAAAGAGAAAAGGTGTGCAAACCGGGGGTGACTCAAGGAGACTAAGCGTCCAGTGCATGCCTTTCGCCCAAGCTCCAAGCCTCGGTAGGTCCTGACAAGCAAAAACCACACAACTCCCAAAACTCCAATTATTCAAGAATAAAAACTAAAAATGCATAAACAAAATTAGCTAAGAAATCGGTAAATATCACTTGGGTTGCCTCCCAAGAAGCGCTTGTTTTACGTCATTAGCTTGACGAAACCTGGGGTGACTCATCCAGGGTCTAGAAAAAAGTGACGATCGTGCCACGCCTTTGTATTCTCGAGAAGTGGCAGTGCTGGCTCTAAGGCCAGAAGGCCGGCACTGTGGGCACGAGTGGCTATGTTCTTGATGTAGTGAGTCTGTTCACGATCAATCCCCAATGTTTGGAACAGAGCCTTCCCCAACTGAGCTCCCTCGTCAACCTCGGCAATCAAAAGCGCATCAATGGAGCAAATCGAAGAAAATACCATCACCTTCGGAAAGCAGTGCAGTGGCCTCGGAGGCGGATGCTCCAACTCGAAGGTGGGAGGA